AATTCTTAACTTTCCCTTTCTCTTTGTAACATGGCAGTTGAACCTATTAATATACCATTTAGTTTTTCCTATTAATCCACAGAAGGAGTTTCCTGTTTTCTCTGGGTTTCCCCCTTGATGGTGCTGAGAGTTGTCCAGATGATGGGTACAGTAAAAACTTGGACATGGGGCTATCAGTGATTCACACCTTGGCTGCAATTAGAATCACATGGGGAGTTGAATGCATAAAAAAAAGAAAACCAGTGTCTCGGCCCCACTTCATAAATTCTGATTTGATTGGGGTGTATGGGACTTGATGTTGGTGTGTTTTTTTCTAATGCCTCAGGCAGCCAAAGTTGAAAACCATCCTTTCAGTCCAGCTCTCCTTATTTCATAGCTGTGTTCTAGCCATAACATTGAATGCAGAGCATCTCCCGCACTCACCATTGCCTCCCTCATCCCTCCTCCCTGCAGGCTGAGAGTCGGGAGGCTAGTTTTCTCTTTGTGACTGTTGGGGATGTTTCAGGTTAGGCAAGGGGTATGTTTTTAAATGTGGTGTGTGAGCTCAAGGCAGGAGAGGTTTGTCACTAATCCAGACAACTCAGCCTCTTCTTAGGGCCAGGAATTAGAATTACTTACCAGGTTAGCTTAGAGAACAATGGAGTTCATATGAGTCAGCCCAAATAGGAAGGAATCTGCTGTGGTTATGTTTATTCTATACTAGAGGCCTGGTGTATGAAAATTCATGCACTGGATAGAGCAGGGGGAGAGGGGTCCCTTAGCCTGGCCTGCCCCCCTCACAGTCCATGAACCCTCAGGGGTGGGAGGCGACCCAGCAATTGGGAAGGTGATGCCCCATCACACTTCTGCTGCTGCCACTGCCAGCAGTGCAAGCCTCGGCCACCCCTGGTTACCTTAGCCTTAGGAGGCCCTGGGTGACTGGGCAGCTGCCATCCAAGGCTTCTCTGTGCCTCTGTCTGACCCTGCGTGGCTGGGGGGCCAAGGGAACACCAGAGGCAGGCACAGAGCGGCCTTGCAATGCAACTGCTGCCCCAGTGGGGCTGAGGGGACTGGGCTCCGCCATCTTGCAATTGTGGGCGCTGCCATCTTTGAGGATGTGGAGGTCAGTTAGCATACTTCCTCCTTATTGGCTGTGGGTCCCTCCATCTTTGTGATGGCATGAGGGTCAATTAGCATATTACCTCTTTATTAGATAGGACTAGTAGATATGAATGTCAGCTTCCTGAGTTGTGTCTCATAGTAATATTTACTGTTGGAACTATAAATCTTTGTGAGTAATTATTTGTACCTAATAGTACTATTAATAGAAAAGAAATTCATTTCTGGAGTATTCTGACCATTGGATGATAAAAGAAACTTTTCCAAACCTAAGGGAAACAGTTCAATGTAGTTAAATTATCTAAGTGATTTAAAATTTTAACTGTCTTGATATCATTTTACTAATATCATGGTAATATATTTTAAAAATTGACTTTTGGTGGTGGTGTCATTTCCTTGGGTTATATTAATTTCCAGATTACCAGACTTATGATGAGTTCCTTATGATGTCATATCTCTTGTGAGGTCCAGGACCTGTTATTCCGGTGCTGTGCGTGCACAGTGAGACTTGTCTGCACAAAGCAGGGAGACCTTCCTGCTCCAGTGGCTTTGACAATGGTGGGAATAGAGAGAGCTTGCTGTGGATATGGCATATGGTCTTGCTGCAGTTCTATGAGTGATTGGCTGTTGCTCTGTATTTCATGTGGTGAATGCTGGCTCAGCCCTGCAGGAGTTGCGGCCATCTCTGTCCTCTCCTCCTAACTCTGCCTCTGCCTCAGTGCCCCCACCACCAGAGCTTTATTGAGGTGATAAAGTTTATGCTTGCAATGCACTTACAAGTGCTTTTGATCAGATCCCACCTATTAAGTATTATAATTAAGTAAATTAATGAGAACCAAGGCCAGGAGCTCAAGGGATGGGTTGATAAGGGGTACATGTCTCATGTCAAACCGTAGCAGAAGCAGGATCGAAAGTTATGCTCCTTTTCCCTTTATTATGTATGTAGTATAGTGTGTCCTAATTATACTACTGTGAGAAAAGTCATTCCTCTTTTGATAAACTTTAAAATCTTAACTTTCCTCTATAGTTTGACACATTTTTTTAAATGAAAAACCATTATGATTTCTATTAAAGAAAATACATCTCAATTAAGAACCATGGTAACTATATTTACTCATTAAATACTAAGTTTTCCAAAACACAACTTGAAAATATCTGACAGGCATGTTTAATCTCAGTACAGTGGATCAAGATCAAGTATACATGTTACATGCATTAAGGCTATTAACTACAAATTATAGTCATCGTCATCATCATCTTTACGTGTTTTTTTCCAATGCATTTGTTGATTCATTAGCAGTATTTTGTGATGACACCATGTTAGTGGTAATAAGAATGTTTTTGACCCAATTAATGATGGATTAATCAGAACATTCTGAACTGCTGATGTTACAGGAAGTGATGCTTTTACAGCTGGGGACTGTGAAGTGGGCATCTGTACTATAAACCTTTGCCCTGTGAGGGACTTTAGTTGAAACTGGTTTGTGTTCCAAGTGTGGGAGTACTTGGTCTGCTAGTAACTGAACCAACACTTAATCGTGGAACTTACTCTTCCCGCAGAAGTAGATGCCTTTTTTGTAAAGATTTAAGTCTATAGTTTGGAGCAGTCATGTAATATCTACCAGGTGGCAGTCTAGGACCTGAATATGGCTTGAATAATGGCAGTGGTCTTTTATTTCTTTGCTCTGCAATCTATTATTATATTATATATATTATAATAATATATATTATAATAATAAAAGCATAATATGCTAATTAGACTGGACAGCCAGATGACCTTCTGAGCAAAGCCAGGGTGGCAAGGACCAAGGCTCTTACACCAATTGTGTGTATTGGCCTCTAGTATATAATAAAAAATCTCCTGGGGAAGGAGAGGTAAAAGACTGGTCAGCACAACACTGGATTGCCAATCACACATCATCTGCATCAACAGTAGCTTTCTTAGCATGTCTTGAATAAATGTTTGCATCATCTAGAATTGTGGTCACATATCAGAAGGCAAACTACAACATCTGACTTATAACTCTTGGCGCATTTTCTGTAATCCCCATATCCTTTAGGATTTGTGCCATCATCTGTGCATCTTTTGGCATGCTCTTGGGAGAAGCCATCTTGCCAGACCCCATGATATTCAGTGATCAGATTTCTCAAGCCAAATCACCCACATTAACATATTTCAGTCCCGATCTTGGTGCAAGTTCTTTGCCTTGTGTGGTTTTTCCAACCCCTGGTGAACCTACTATGAGCAGGATGTTTGGAAGCAACGAGATGGCTCTGGAAATCTCTGCTCAAGGGCCCTAAGTGCAATCTATTGTTTAAAATTTTGATATACATTCAGTTGTGACTCTGAAGAAGTTAAAGCATTGGTCATTATTTTCTTCTAAATCCTACACATCATAAATATATTTTGGCTATAAAATTTTCAAATACAAAGTTGTTACCAAGGGAGGGGAAATGAAAGTTCTTGCCTCCTCCCCACCCCACCCCAGAAAGTCTCCTCTCCCTCCTCCCTCCTGCCTATCCTCAGGTCTCTACAGTTAGGGGTTTGCCATATCCTTCCAGGACCCTTTCCATTCATTTACATACAAACACATTCCCTTTAAACCAAAGAAAAGGAGGAGGGTATGGAATGATACTCTATGGCTTGTTTTTAATCTTTCTGTTTGCTGACAAGCTTTCATGGTGGTTTTATGACTATACCTACCCTGTTTCCCTGAAAATAAGACAGTGTCTTATATTAATTTTTTCTCCAAAAGTTGCGCTAGGTCTTATTTTTAGGGGATGTCTTATCTTTCCATGTGCTAGGTCTTATTTTCGGAGGATGTCTTATTTTCGGGGAAACACGGTAGTTCATCTGTAGATGCACTGTCCTTGATTTAGTCAAGTTTCTTGGTAGCTATTTAAGATGTTTTCAGTTTTTCACTATTACAAACGCTGCTGCAACAAGTCTCCTCTCCTCTTACCCCCACACACATCTTTTTCACATGTAAGTACTTAGTTTGATGAATTCCTAAAAATGTAATTTTAATATAGTTTCAGAATATGCTTTGTAAAATGTACCCTCAACTAGATTCAGTTCTATTACGTCCTTTATTGCTGTTTTTAGAACATTTTGTGATTTATTCAAGATGTGTTGAAGGGCAGTTTAAGTCCTGCTGTGTAATTATTTTTGAAGGCTCTGTCTCACGTATAGGCTTATATCATATTTTCTGGCGTATAAGACGACCCACTAATTTTACAGTTAAAACATAGGTTTAGGCCTATATTCGCTGTATAAGACTACCCCCCACTTCCGAGGCAACACCAGTTCTTTTTTTAATAGACTGCCTCTCTGATTCTGGCCAATTTGAGCAGGCTTTTTACTAGAACACATTGTAGCTTCGGTTACAGAACATGTACACAGAACATGTACACTGTGTTCTATTATAGTAAAAAGCCTGCTCAGATTGGCCAAGAGTCAGAGAGGCGGTCTATTAAAAAAAGAACTGATGTTGCCTCGGAAGTGGGGAGTAGTCTTATACAGCGAATATAGACCTAAACCTATGTTTTAACTGTAAAATTAGGGGGTCATCTTATACACCGGAAAATATGGTAATTCATGACATGTGTCACCCATGTTTATTGGCTGACATAGTTTTATCCAGTCCAGGGAACTATGGACACAAGACACAAATTCCCAGGTTTGCTTAAAGTTCTCTGGGCTGTTTTTAAATTTCAGTGATGAGTAGTAGATGGGTGAAATTTTTGACTTTCATAGGAAGCACTTATAATACCAAACCCTTGTAATACCTGTTTTATAGAAAAATTTGAAACTACAATAAAAAAATGACTTTTAACTAACAATGAAAATCATTCCTATGAAAAATGGAAGAAAATAGATAATTATGTTTTTGTTCCTTTAGGTCACTCCAAGAACCGAAACCCCTGTCACCAGTGTCAGTAATAGTTTGGAGAATGCACTACGTACGTCAGCACATTCCACGGAGGAGTCGCTGCCCAAGAGGACTGTGGGAAAACACTCCAAAGGTGAGTCTGTCCATCTGCAGGGCTGAAGGGAAGAAGTTGTACTAGAGTGGAGAGGGGAATCTTGCGCTGATATTTGTAAATGCTTTTAGATCTTTTGTATACGCTAGTTGTAGTAAGTTGTATTATTTTTCTATATTCTATAAGTAATACATGAATGTATCTTGGCTGTAAAAACCTCAAACTTATTAAGGAGGGAAAAGTGCAAGTTGTTAATCCTCCTTCCACCAAAATAAGTAAATTCCAGAGCAGCAGTATCCTGAAGAACTTCTACAGTCATGGAACGGTCTGCATCTGCACTATTTAGTTTGCCACCAGCCATGTGTGCCTTTTGAGCACTTTTGAAATGTGACTTATGCAACAAGGACCTGAAATTTCATTTATTTTTTCATTGCAATTGCAATTGCAGTAGCTCATTGTGGACCATGCCTACCATATTGAGCAGTGCAGCTCTGGATTGGATGGAGGGCACATTTTAGACGAAGCTGTGAGTTCCTTGGTTCTGGTGTGCCTGACTTTTGCAGCCAGCTTAGACAGAGTCAGTTGCTGTATAGTTGGTAAGCTGTGTGGAGGTGTGGGGGACTCCAGGAGTGTGAAGGTGATGTGTAGGACTAGATGGATCTACAGTGAACTCCAAGTCTGCAGGGTAGTCAGATGGGCCAGGATGACCCTGACTTGGATGGTCGTCATGAGGCCCCAAGCCATTTGCTCCCTCACTCAGCTGTCCTTTGTTCCCCCTTTTGTTTGTGTTTCTTCCAAAATGGAGCAGCACTAAGGTGGGAGCCATACCCTGCTTGTTTTGTGTTTTCCATTCTCTTTCTCCCTCCTGTCTCAGGCACAGAGCTTTGTGCCTCACAGATACTTTAGTAAGCACTTTAAATAAAGATCCATTTTGATAAAATCATAGCAAGCCACCCGTCTGTGACTTGGGTCATATGCTGGATATATCTGTGTTCTATTGTCTGCACTTATGTTTGTTTATATGTGACCATGACATGGTATTAAAAGAGTTAATCCTTAGAGCAGCCATGGGGCCCAGTCAGCTTGTTTTATGTACTCCATTCCAGGGACCATCATTCTCAGGACGCAGCAGGGCCTCATCTGCAAGGATGCTGTCACTCAGTCATAGGCACTTCTTCTCCCCTAAAACTGCTCCTATCCTTTTTCTTCTGAGTGTCATCCAGGGAGCAGTCTCTGGACAGTCCAGCATAGTACAACTTGTGCCCTGCACCCTCCTAATCTGAAGGGCTGTCCTTTTCCTCACCACCGTGGTTTTTCCTCAAGACATAATTATCAAGAACCCCCTCACTCCTTTTTAAAAATATAATTGCAGAATATGTTATCTCTGTCACCCCTTTGTCTGTGTTGCTGGTGCCCAGAGAGCCAGCTTTAGCATCACTTGTGTCAGACATCAGTTACCTACAGTATGCTCCATTCAGTGGTCATGGTTCGTAATAGTTTCTTCCGTCCAAAATTGTTAAGCAAGCTAACCTGGTTTTTCGTCACACTTTTTGCAATACTCTGTTTAGCCTAGGTTATTCCTCTTTTGGAAGTCTAAAGTCACTCTTAAGTATTATTATAATAAACTTTTCTCATTGTCTTTTCTGTAACCCACATGTGTTTTGGTTTTTCTCTGCTTATTTGGAAGTTTGTCCTGATACAATGTCACTTATAAAATAAAGAATTCAGACTTTTCCATTTCTGTTATATAAGAGTCAGGGAATGGCAACAAGGACTGCCTGAAACCCTGACTGCTCTGGTCAGGTTGTGTCCCAAGCTTATTACATAGACTAACCCACATAATTTTCTGAAGAACTCTGTGGGGCTCAGTTATACCTATTTAATTCTAATATCAATCCCATGAAGAGATTATTGCCCCATTTTACAGATGGGAGAACTGAGTCACAGATAAGTAACATTCCCTGGAATTCCAACCCAGAGTTAATAATGCCCTTACCATTAATGTTAGACTGAAGAAAACAGAAAATGAAAATCAAGATGACCGTGCTTAAAAAGGACACATTAAAAAATGAATGTTAATCTTTCTTCTATACTATATAATGTGAATATTTTCAAGTGCTGGCATAGAGAAAACAGTATAGTGGTTGCCCACATCTGACTTGAGCAACAAGTAATCAGCTGTGTATTCCTTTGGGGCCTGAGTTACTCAGGAATGTTCAGGACTGTTGTATACACTTTGGGAAAGCAAGTCTCCCCAAATCCAATTACTTGTATTTATTATTATTAAAACTTAGGGAGACAGTTATAATGTACAAGGAGAGGTAGAAATTACTTTTAATAATATTCTAAGTGAAAGAAGTTCTATAACATTTTACTTTACTTCCCTGTCCCTTATCTGCCCATCTCTCCATCCATCAAAACATTACATTTTTTAAAAAATCTATTTTTATTGATTTTTTACAGAGAGGAAGGGAGAGAGAGAGTTAGAAACATCGATGAGAGAGAAACATCGATCAGCTGCCTCCTGCACACCCCTCACTGGGGATGTGCCCGAAACCAAGGCACATTGCCCTGACCGGAATCAAACCCAGGACCCTTCAGTCCGCAGGCTGACGCTTTATCCACTGAGCCAAACCATTCAGGGCAAAACATTACTTTTTTTTTTTTTTTTTTTTTTTTTGATGCATTTCCAAGTAATGATTGGGTTGGTTCTCCTGATCTGCCATAGTTGTTATGTTGGTCATGTGTGCTGTACACTCACAGCCCACAGCTTAGTTCCTGGACGTACAGTGGATTGATTCTCCATAACTCCTGAGCCTGCATTCTGGCTTGAGCATCTTTCTCTCTGAAGCTGCTCTCATGGGAAGTCACAAATGACTCCTCGGGTGATAAGTCAGCTTCTATTTCACCTGGCATTTGTGATTACCCCACTCCAGACTTTGTCCTCCCTTATATTCTTTTAATTTTTTTAAATTGTGGAACATCAGACATACACAAGCCTTGGTGTGAACATTCCACTGGTCTCCAGACAACACGCTGGCTTGTTTTTCCTTCCTTTCTTTTCGCTTGTTTGCTTTACAATTCCTTCTTCTTCTGCCCCTTAAACATCAGTGCTCTACTGGCTCTTTCTTGGTCCCCCACTTAACACTGAGCAGTCTTCTCTGAGCCACTGTCCATCTGTTGATGACTTCAGATCTGAGAGTCCAGCTGTGACCATTCCCCTGGACCCCAAGCCCCTGTGAACTCTCCGGTCATTGACTATTTCCACCAGTCAGTATGCCTGGAATGTAATCATGACTCCCATTGCCACTCCCTAAAATGGGTTTCCAATGTTCGTGATTGATAACCAATGTTCAGGCACTTGGGACAAAACCTAAAAGCCCATCATAACAGTTCTCTGTCCCTCTTAAGGGGTCTACACGTCGCAGTCCTGGTATGTCTATCCCTGTAAGCCTGTTGTGGTTTCTTCTTACCATCACTAAGCCACCATCCTGGTTTAGGCCTCCATCTTCTCTGCTGCATGTGGGTTCATCTCTCCAGCCCGTTTTCTGAGCAGGGACCTGTCCAGCATGTTGGATCATGGTCCCCTACTTAGGAAGCCTGGCAGCAGCACTGATGGCAGCAGCAATGTCATCCAACACTAACCACCCTGCAGCTTGCTTGTGTTCACCTACTTAATGCCACAGGCCCTTGTAGTGGAAACCATTATTCCTTTTGTTCACGATTAAATAACTGCCTACGGGCACTGGGCTGGAAAGTGTCATATTTCAGACTACACCTGTCTCACTGCAGAGCCCGTGGGTTTACCTTAATCTGCAGAGAGGCGTGAGTTTCTTTATGTGCCCCTTGTAGGGTTGGTGGGCTGGCCCTGCCTGTGCCCTTGCCTCCTTGTGACTGTCCTCCCCTCTCTGCTCTGGTCTCCTGTCATTCCTCTCTTAGTGTCCTGGCTCCCACTGTGACTAAACTTATTAAAACACAGTGCACGGTAATACCGCATTGCTGTGCCCAGATGGGCCCATCCCTTTGAGGTCTAGCCCAGGTATTACCACTTTGAACTCTGTAATTTTTCCATCACTGTGGCTGGTACTGTGCTGAATATATAGTAATGCTAAAGAAAGTGTTTGCCCTGAAACATAAATAAGTGAAGTTCCTTGGACTCCAAAATGCAAGTGTGTTATCACTAACCACTCAAATGGAAAATGTGTGTTCATTTCCTGTTTTTGCTACTTTAGAAATATCTTTTATCAGCTTTTTGTTTTCTCAATTATGCGCTACTTTTGTTTCTATCCCAATTTCTGAAGAACTAACAATCAAAGAAAAATATGTGATAGAGTCCTTAAATATAGCATAACATGTGTCCTAAAAGGATGTAGAAAAAAAAAAAATCAGCTCAATCAGTGTAGTAGTGAATTTCACATTTTAATAATAGCTGAAAGAAGCAATGCTTTAAAAATGTATTCCCATTAGCATAGGCAAGTAAATGAAAGTGAGAAAGCAAGTTGATATTTTAGGAACATTATTCAGCTGGACCTTTAAGAATACAGTTTTTCAATTTTTAAATAAAATCTAGATTTCAGTAATAAAATTTTAAAGCAGGAAGCATCCTAAATGTTACTCTGATTTAGTGTCTTTATTTCAAGTATGAAGACTTGAGTTTGCTTACACAGATCTTAGGAGGAGTTGTTTGTGCTACAAAATTATTATTTTTTCATATTTTCTCTTAGTCATAAATATTATACTTTTTACTATGATTTATTTTAGAGTATTTTTTTTTATAATTTTGAAGTGGTTTCTTGTTACTGGGCATATAGAATTAAACTAATAAAGACACCTTGAAATAAAATAAAAGACATATTTGGAAGAAAACTACTAACCTCCCAAAATTTTCTAGAAAACTTTAGAAAGGAAAATGTTTCAAAAGAGTGGCTTATTCTTGGGACATATTGAAGTTTTATCTATAGGTGTCTTATAAATACCGATGTAACAGTTGGCTCTTATAAATCATTTGAAGATGCTTGTTAGCGAATGTGGTCCTTAGGTTGTGGCAGTTTTACCCAGGAGCTCCCTGGGCTGAAATGAAGAGAATGTGTTTCTGGTGCTGGGACTTGCTGGCTGTGTGGCCTTTCCATCAGTCATTGTCCTAAATCATCTGTGACTCTTTGCCAGCCTCAGTGACTGCTTCTGCTTCAGGCCTTTCAGCTGCTTGCCTGGGCTTTTATTACAACACATTTGTATTTTCTACACAAAACTCCTCCCTCTTGTTTCAGTTACATTAGTGTATTATTTTTTGTTTTTATTAAAACAAAAAATTATTTTATTATTAGTGTATTATTTTTTATTTTGTGTATTATTTTTTTAAATATATTTTTATTGATTTCAGAGAGTAAGGGAGATGGAGAAAGAGAAAAAAAAAATCAGTGATGAGAGAGAATCATTGATCGGCTGACTCTTGCACTGGGATGACCCACACTGGGGATCACATCCACAACCCAGGCATGTGCACTGACCTGGAATTGAACTATGATCTATTGGTTCATAGGTTGACACTCAACCACTGAGCCACATCAGCTGGGTTTAATTGATTTTAGAGAGGGAGGAAAGGAGAGAGAAACATTAATCAGTTGCCTCCCGTTATCTACCCAAATCTGAAACCTGCCCTGACCAGGAATCCAACCAGTGACCTTCCAGTGCACAGGACGGTGTTCAACCAGCTGAGCCACACCGGCCAGGGCTAGTGTATTTATTTTTAAAATTAGGTATTGAGCCCTGGCCAGGTAGCTTAGTTGTTCGATAGAGTGTTTTTGTCTCTATATGAGAAAGTTTCGGGTTCAGCCCTCCATCAGAGCACATAGAAGAAACAACCAATGAATGCACAAATAGGTGGAAAAACAAATGGGTGTTTTCTCTCTCTCTCTCTCTCTTCTTTCTCTCTCTCTCTCTCTCTCTCTCTCTCTCTCAAATCAACTTAAAAAAATTTTAAGGAATTAAAATTAGGTATTGATTCAATTCTAAAAGTAGTTTAATGCATTTTACTTAATACATTTTAGTAGTTATGTGATCTAATTTGTAAGTTTTGAGAATTTCTAATGTACATCTTGAATGGATAAAAGAAGAAAAGTTTGAGCAAATAAAATTTTAAAAGGAAAAAGCACATTGTTCTTTTCAGTCTCATCTCAACATGGTCTAGCCTGTGCTCAGCAAACTGTGACTCGAGAGCCACATGTAGCTCTTTGGCCCCTTGTATGGCTCTTCCACAAAATACCACGGCCTGGGCGAGTCTATTTTGAAGAAGTTTAAGTTTAAAAAATGTGGCTCTCCAAAGAAATTTCAATCATTGTACTGTTGATATTTGGCTCTGTTGACTAATGAGTTTGCCGACCACTGGTCTAGCCTCATATCCCTTTGTCCCATTTCCATCTGTCTTACATAGACATACTATACACAGTCTGGATCCCAGCCCCTTTTATCCTGTCCCCAAGTATTCCCCAGATGGACGCTCCTATCCTTCCTACTCTGCCTTTTAGAGCACTATTCCTGACCATGACTGGCTCATCTCTGACCAAATAGAAGTGCCCTTCATGTCTTCGAGTCTTTCCAGTTGATGTAAATCCCTTCAAGTCTTTCCAATTGATGCAAATCCCTGGATCAAAGAAATGGCTTAAAAGTTCTGCCACTTTAAGTCATCTTTCACTGTCTGTCCCTTCAGATGATGGATTGCTATCTAGCCCCTAAAATTTACACGTTTGCTAGTACTCTTCAGAAGGTAGTGGGACTTCTGTGACTGTTAGATGATTCAGTCTGCAGGACTGACCAGGAAGGTGAGAGAGAAAGAGGAAGAGGGGTCACTTCATTTACCAGTAGACTTTAAGTGGATTGTAAATAGATATTTGTATGCATATAAATATACTTTAAAATTATGAAACCACATTACAGAACTTTTGAGGAAAGGCTACTCATAATTTTACCACCAACTATAATTATTCTTGTTATCATTGCTATTACTTCTGATAATTTATTTTTAGTCAGTTTTACTTTTATAAACAACTATAATCATTTTGCATATAATTTATATTTTTAGTTGTATTATAAGCGTTTTGTGGGGGGTTTTTTTGTAATCATGGTCTTTAATATAGCTCCACAATTGAAAGTGTACTTAAACATCTTTGAATCCTAATTAGGCATCCCGTAATGCTGCCCTCCACATTAACCGTTGTCAGTGATATCTGCTACCGAAAGTCAGGCCACAGGTGCCCTCCTGCCTTTCCATTTCACCAGGCTCCCCTTCTCCCGTTTTTAGAGCCTCTGTGAAGGCAGGAGTTGTTTTCTTGGAGGGCAGTATGGAGAGAATTTCACTGTGAGTAAAGTGGCAGAACTTTTTAGCCATTTATTTGATCCAGAGCTTTCCTGGTAGCAAAAGCTGCTGCAGCCTCCCTATAAGTAGGGTGGGTGGCATGGACTTATAAAACTGAAACAAAGCACCATGTCCATCGGTCTGATTATGAAGAGTCTTCACAAACATTTCAGTCCTGGAGTTCAAATGCTTTTTTTTATTTGAAAACAGCTGAATAATGTTCATCTGCTTTTCACATTTTCCTGTCCAGATATGAGTCACTTCCTGCTTTCAGACCAGATGAGGTTTTGTTTTTTTGTTTTTTTGCTTCTTTCCATAAATCCTAATATTATTCAGTTCTGGGACACTTAGGTACACATTGGTGTTATGATGCCAAGGAAAATGCTGACTAAATTTATCCTATTGTTTAAAAAAGTTAAGATCTGGATTAGAATGATGTCATTGTGGGTAAGTTTTTTTTTAAAATAGCGGTTCTGAAAACATAAAAGCTGTTTATTTGACTATCTGACTGATGAAGTTGTACAGGAACAGTGAGTAGTTTGAGTGAAAATAAGGAGCTGTACAACCTCTGAATGTAGTGTTTTCTTTGTTTTGCCAGAATGGGAACACGTACTCTTATTTTTTTTTTTTGAGTAATTTCTTCCTATAAGGTGCTTATTTTAAATTAACAACACTCTAAACCAAATGGGTTCTATTATCTTCCAATATGCATATCAATCCTGATGCCATTTTACAAAATTAGGGAGGCTTACAAGAGAATAACTTAGCAAGGGAAGGGTCGTAATATACCAGTGAACAAGATAGGTGGGTTCTTGTGATCTGTAAGTATAAGAACCTATCTACCTTGTTCACTGGTTTATTACAAGCCCCTAGAATAGGACCTGGTCCACAGCAGGAACTTCATAAGACATGTGGGTAGAGCAGGGCTTGGCAAATTTTTTTCTGCAAAGGCATACGGTAATTCTATCGTGGCCATTGATTATGTGTAAGCAAACAGTGTGGCTATGTGCCAGTAAAACCATTTACACAAACCAGCAGAGGGCAGCCTGCGGTTTTCCAGCCCTTAGCTCAGGATGGTGCTGTCCAGTAGAACTCTGTGACGACTGAATGTTCTCTGTCAGGTGGCTGTTGACACAATGTGGTCAATGCAACTGAGGAATTAGACTTTAATTCTATTCTTGTGATTAATACAAATTTAAAAGGTCACATGTGGTTAGTGGCTACAGTATTGGGTGGTTCAGGGTTAGAACCTCCCCCAAAGCATGGGACAAAGCAGTTCGTTTTCTCTAGGATGTTAGGGGAATAAAGAGTTCCATGACCAAAAATACTGGGGAATTGTTAATAAAAAGATTTATTTGTTGTGGGACTTCTCAGAGCCTTTAATTTGCTGATGTACATGGACAATCTTCAAGGAGTTTTGCAGATTTTTCCTCCAAATTTTTTGACCTTAAAGGTTTTCAGGGGTGACTCTGAACATCTCACAGGACTGGTGTTCCTTGGAGAAGACTTTGGGAAACATTGGTGTGGGAGACCAGGAGCATGGGCATCTGTAGGAATTGTAACAATTATTGGACCGTTGGGTTGAAAGGCCTGTAGAAGTCCTTATAGAACCCTGCCATATGTCCTCCAGAAAGAGTAAAAGTAATGGAAGAAGGGGTTCTAATGTATCATTTTACTCTTGAACATAAAAAAAATGCACACATATGTGTGAAAGGGTGGTATGAAGAGGCTGGTCCCTTTAGAACTCTTTCTTTAATGGTAGTTTGTCTCTTTTTGGTCACTGTCTGTGCAGCCAGTCTATGACAATCCTTAATATTCTTTAGAGGCAGCATGAGGAATCTTCACTGTTTCTCCTATACCTGCTGCCCTTTTCACCCCCAGCCTTGCCCTGTCAGAAAAGGATGAGACAAGAAGATCCAATGAAAGGCTCTGGGCAGCTGTGTCTAACACAGTAATAGTGGAAAACATTGAGCATTAGTTTTTCAGAAATTGGAACAGATCATAACTAATCTTTAGTTATAATTAGTTCATACTTGTGTGCATTCAAATAAACTTACGTTCTCTTCCTTTTCTATGATTTGTATTTATTTCTTTGCCTGTTTTTCTTACTTTACTTTTAAATTCACCTTCCATTCCTGAGTGTGACAGCTTTTTTGCTTCCTCTTAAGTTTCTCATTCCAGGTGAACACACCGCAGAAGAGACTGAGCAGCGTTGGGCATTGAAAGCCTTACTTTGAAAATTGCTAAAATATTAAATGCTAAAGTAATATGTACTTCAGGATTTTATTTCATTTTTATAATTTTGTTTGTTGTTTGTTGTTTTTGTGTGTGTGTTTTTTTTTACTTTTACAGTGAGTGTTGAAAAGATAGACCTGAAGGGATTATCACACAAAAAAAATGAAAGAAATGTTGAATGTTCCTTTGAGGTAAGATGCTAAGTTTTTTTTCCCTTTTCTCCTCTGAGGGATAGGAGGGAACATTTACCATGAATTGATACTTTTATTTATCTAAATAAAAAATAGGCCATTTTGCAAAACATTGCTAGTGCTATGGGAGATGGAAAGCTGGGACTCGGCCTATGGGTGGGCCATCTTCAGGTCTGGGCTTGTTGGCCTTCAGCCTAGGGACTACTCACTCCCTGACCTCAGTGGCCTCCATGAGGGGGAGGGGCTGGGGATCTGGAACAGCCTGGAGTTAACAGTTCAGTTCTATCCCTGTCAGCCACGTGACTGAGGACAGTGCTGAACTTCTGTGCCCTAACATCTCCAGTTGGAAAAGGAGGAGTAGTTTGGGGGAAAATGAAATGAGACAGCCCCTTCAAAGCTCTCAGCACAAGATCTGGATATAGTAAAAGCCTGCAAACAAAAACTCTTCTCTCTACCCACTAGATGGCAAGAGCTTCTTGGTGAATATGGTGAATGCTCTCTAGACTGACATGCTCAGCTGGTAGTAGTTGGTTACCTAAGTTGGCTTATGTGGAGAATTGTGAAAATTGAGACATACTGTGTATTACGATTAGAGACCCTCCAAGGCAGTGCTAGACCCTTCTTATGTTTTGTTGACCCGAACTGTTTCTGTTCCCACTTAGCTATTGAAGAGGCTGGGTAGTGAATTTGGGTGGCCATGTCCCTGAGGTTCTGTTACTTGTCCAGTATGTTGTGTGAGGTTCTCCTTTGACCATGTGCCTGAATACTGAATGATAAGGAAAATCTGCTTCCTGTATTGTTAGAGAATGTTCTGAGGAACAAAAGCTTCTGTGTAGTATTTAGTGTGTGTATTATGTGCAGTTTATTAGTTTTTCAAAGAGTGTAGCTGCATGAAAATACTTTTCCCACTAAAAGGATAAAATTTCATTTGATTTGAGAGGTACTGCATTGTAAAGGTCAGTTATTAAGCTACCAATGTCTTCAAAATGTATGGAAAAGATGTGAAGTTTGGGAGATTGCTAAAGCTTGCGACTAGCACCCAAACTCAGGAAGCCAGTAAACCTTGGAATCCCAGCGTCATTCAGGCCAGTAGGCATCAGGAGCCCAGCAAGTCCCCAGACCCTGGACACGCTGTCTCCTCCCTCTACTTGCTGCCTTTTGCTGTCTAGTGTTTCCTGAGGGGCTGTTGGCATCATTATTTGCCTCCACAGGGCCTACCCTTTTGGGAAGCTGCTGAGCATAGGGCGGATCTGGGATGGTTGGCCCCACTCACAGGCTATCTGATCATTGGGCTTTGATTTGCCCCTGTCTTCAGTCCTTTTACTTGTGGCAGGGAATTGTGCTTGTGCAGCATGAGATGCAGAAATCCTATATAACACAACTGCCTGCTGCTACTCACCGAAGAAATGAGCTTTGGCAGAATAGGCACGTGGCCTCTCATGAGTTCTCAGAGGAGGAGGGGATTATAAGCAGGAGGAGGAGGCAGTAACAGACTGGCGGGGATGGGGACCCTTGTCTGAGTCTTCTGAAGGCAAACTGCACAACTCCAACAGGAGCCTAGAGCCACCGGCCTTCAGGCCTGTCAATAGCTCTGAGCTTGCAGCACTAGACTAGGAACTATTGCTTGGAGTTGACACTGATGACTGTCACACAGAATTAGATGTTTTTACCCCAATGGTTAAGCTGAAGTGTCTGAAAAGCCGACTTTTCCTCATGTGATAACTGGTAAAAGTATTCGTGTGTTTAGGAAAGTGAAAATCCTTCCTATAGTCCAATTAGCTATTCTTTTGAGGTGGGAACTTGTGCCCAAAGGAATTTACAGTCCAGAGTGCATTTGTTGGATGGTATTCAAGGTACAAAAGGAAGATATAATCAACATTTTTTTAAAATTACTATCTTATTTACAAAACACACCATTAATTTGTGCAGCTTAAATTGTGTGCTGGTGAGTTGTCCTCTATTATGCAACTGCTTGTAGGATACAGATATGTATTATTCACTTGTAAGAAAAGTGCAGCCACTTTATGGTTTTGTTTCACTGTGGTCACTCTAGCTAGCTGTCATCAGATGCTATAGCTCTATATATAGAGAGAAGTGGTGGGCTGCAGGACGAGAAGACAACAACATATCTTTAAATTTTTTCCATTTTAATGACCCCCACTTCCCCCCCCCAAATTAAGTCCCAATAGATTTTTTTCTGTCTTACAAATCAACAAGTTGATTCTAAAATTTATATGGGAAGAACTATAAGTACTCAAAATAATTTGGAAAAAAAGAAAAAGGTTGGGAAACTCACAGTACCTTGTATTAAGAGTTACTGTTACACCACAGGAATTCTGACACGGTGGCATTGCTGCAAGGGTAGAGGCATTGATCAGAACAGAACAGAGTTCAGAATTAGACTCAGATGGAAGTGGCCCATTGATTTTTGACAAAGATTCAAAGACAGTTCAATGAAGAAAGGATTTTTTTTTCAACAAATGGTTCTGAAACAGATATTTCATGCACACACACACACACACAAAAATGAACCTGGATCAAATCTCACATCTTATACAGAAATTAACTTAAATTTTATTACAGGCCTAAATGTAAAACCTAAAACTACAAAAATCTGAGAAGAACGCATAGGAGAAAGCTATGTGACTTATATGAGGCAAAAGTTTTTTTGTATACAATGTCAAAAATATCAATTAAGATAAATATACTAGACTTCATCAAGATTTAAAACTTGCTCTTTAAAAGGCACTGTTAAAAAAAATGAAAAGAGAAGGAAGGCACAGACTAGGAGAAAAATATTAGGTCTAGTAATAATTAATGTCGTTTTCTAATACTTTTTTAAATCGAATTTATTTAAACAATACAACAAAATTTAATCAACTATAGTTGCCATTGTTTTCTACTACTTGTGCCCAACGCTCAGGAAGCATTTTAATCCCTCTGTTGTAAAATTCTTGTGATTTTGATGCAAAAAATTCAGTCAGTGCATTTTTGAGGCATTCTTCATTATTAAATTTTTTTCCAAGAAGAAAGTTTTGCAAAGAACGAAACAAATGGTAATCGGAAGGGGCAATATCAGGAGAATATGCAGGTTGAGGGAGAACTTCCCATTCCAACTGGCGCAGTTTTTCAGCAGTGATTCTTGCAGTATGCGGTCGTGCGTTATCGAGGTGAATTACGCCCTTCCGATTAATCAGCGCGGGTTCTTTTTCTCTTAAAGCTTGGGCTAACCTTTCCAATTGGGCACTATACACTGCACTTGTAATGGTTTGGTTAGATGGTAAAAGTTCATAATGAAGAATTCCTTTAAAATTCCACCAAACACACAACATCACTTTTTTCGCATGCGAGTCAGGTTTTGGCGTGGGCTGCGGAGCCTAATTTTTATCCAACCATTGAAGCCGCCTTTTCAAATTAACATACAGCACTCATTTTGCATCTCCGGTAACAACTTGCTCTAAAAACAGCAAACGGTTTTGACAAGAGAGGAGCGAACTGCAAATTGTGACTCTTTGATGACGGTTGTTGTCGGTCAACTCATGAGGAACCCATTTTCCAAACTTTTGGACTTTGCCAAGTGCACGCAATTGATTGGAAATTGTTTTTTGTGAACAATTTAAAGTTGTCGCAAGCTCTTGTTGGGTAATTTGAGGATTTTGCACCAAAAGAGCTTGAAGAGCTTCTTGATCAAAATTGGACACACGGTCTCGACCACTCTTGTCATCTAACGAAAAATTTCCCTCGCGAAATTTCTCAAACCAATGCTGGCATTTTCTGGTGCTAACTGCATCTTGACCAAGAGCACTACAGATGTTTTTGCAGCCTCACTTGCTTTTCTTCCTAATTGGAACTCGTAAAGCATGCAGTGCCGAATATGCTCTTCATCCGCCATCTTCTTAGCCCTAGTTTTGCAACAAAAACCAAACCAAACACAAACTTTTTCAAGCAAAACTTGTTAATTGCACTTCACACGTTCTGTAGATACCACGTGTTTGAAGGTTATGTCAATACAAGTCAACGCCAAGCAAGATTTAAAACGAATGTTTAAAACGACATTAATTATTACTAGACCCAATAGATGCAAATTACATATCTGATAAATAATTTGTATTCAAAATACATAAAGAGCTCTCAAGCTCAATAATAAGAAAACAGTCCAATAAAACATGAGCCAAAGATTTGAACCTGCACTTCATCAGGAAGATGTATGGATGGCAAAGAGCATACATGAACATATTTCAGATCATTAGTACTGTAGTTAGGAAAATACCAATTAAAACCACAGCAAGATAGCCTGGGGAATGTGGCTCAGCAATTGAACGATTGAGCGTTGACCCAGGAACCAGAGATCATCGGTTTGATTTCCAGTCAGGACACTTGCCCTGGTTGTGGGCCGATCCCCAGTAGGGGCATGCAGGAAGCAACTGATCAATGCTGTTTCTCTCTCGTGGATGCTTCTATCTCTCTATCCCTCTCTTTTCTTCTTTCTCTAAAAATCAATAAAAACGTATTTTAAAAAAACACAACAAGATACTAGATGAGTATTAGAATAACTAAAAGTAAAAAGACTGATCATACCAAGTGCTGACAGGGATGTGGAAGAACTGGAAGTCTGCTACACTGCAGATGGAAAAGTAAAATGGTGTGAGTACTTTGGAAAATAATTTGGCCATTTAAAAAAAATTAAATATATTCCTAAAATATGACCTATCAGTTCCACTCCTAAGTACCTATCCATAGGAAATGAAAGCATATGTTCATGCAAAGATTTGTATATGGATATTTATAGCAGCTTTATTTATAACACCCCACATATCCCTTCACAAGAGAATGGATAAACAAACTATTATATCATTCATACAATGGAGCACTATTCAAAGTTATAAGAGTAAACTTGATACACTCAGCGATATGGATAAAACTCAGTTATGCTGTGTGAAAGAAACCAGACCTCGCCCCAAACAAAATAAGAGTCCGTTTACAAGCATTCTAGAAAATGC